CCATCCATCCATCCATCCATCCACCATCCATCCATCATCCATCCACCCACCATCCATCTATCCACCATCCATCCATCATCCATCCATCATCCATCCATCATCCATCCATTCATCCACCATCCATCTATCCACCATCCATCCATCCATCCACCATCCATCCATCATCCATCAATTCATCCACCATCCATCCATCCACCATCCATCCATCCACCCATCCATCCATCCATCCATCCATCCATCCATCCATCCATCCATCATCCATCCATCATATATCCATCCATCATCCATCCATCATCGGTCCATCCATCCATCATCCATCCATCATCCATCTATCCACCATCCTTCCATCCATCCCACACTTACACGCACACAACAAGGAGGCTCCTCTCCATGTTGTTTTGGGCCACAAAGATCAGAGTGGGCAGGACATAGCAGTCCTGATTGAATGAGGCTTAGGCGTCTGGGGTGAGGAGGCTGGATCTGACCCTCTTTTCCAGAGATGAGCATAAAAATGTCAGTGTCTCAGGGTAACCCCAAGAGAAGCAAATACCTTTTAGGGCCATAATCCAGGCAGTGTCCAGTTTGAAATAAATGACCTATGTGGCCTGTTGGATGAGGGGCTATGAGAGAGCCCTGGGCCCTACTGTCTGGGTGAAGATTTGGCTTCTGGTTTCCTTTTGAAGCGTTGCCTACTTCTGTCTCTACCGGTCCCTCTCCTTCTAATAAACTTCATGGGAAGCTGAGGTGTATGTATGCATTACCTAGATGGGTTCAGAGTTGTTCACACTCACTATTCCAGAACACACACACACACACACACACACACACACACGTGTGCACGCACCCACGCACACACAGCACACATGTTCACTCTGCCCTCCTCTCCCCAGCTAAGCCCTTGCGCAGATGGGCAGATGGAGGGCTTGCTGGAAGGGCGTGTGACTCTATTGAGTTTTGGAAGGTGGACATAAATGACCTTTACTTCCCCTCTTGGTTGGGAAAGCTCAGTTTACAATTTGAAAATAAATAACTTGAGGTCCCGGAGCTTTGCTTGGCTCAGCAGCCAAACTGCTGTCATTATCTCCTAATTAAGGGGTAATTGGTTTGCTATCATTATTGTTCTAGGGATGGTTATCAGGTCAATGGCTAGGGGGTGTGGAGTGGTAAACAGTAGCCTGGGGACTCAGGTCACGGGGCAACTCTGTGGCTTCCTCTTCTGCTGCCACCGGAAAGCAGTTTCCCCCAGCACCCCATGGGGCCCAGGAGGAGGAGGTTTCCCTCACTTCCAGCCTGGGGGTTCTATTCTGAGCAGGAGGAGGAGGGAAGACAGCCAAGCAGAAGGGCATAGCTCCTGTTTCAGTGAGTCCCAGGCTCTGGGAGAGGCAGCATCTGCCTTTCAGCAATTAATTGAGCACTTACTATGTGCCAGACTCTGTCCTTGACACTGGTACAAAAACAAAAAACAAAAAACAAAAACGATGACCAAGACCACTGATTCCTAGTATCACTGGAAGCAAGAGGTCAGGCCAGGAAAACAGTGGGCTTCCTGGAGGAAGCGCCCTGAGAGCTGAAGCTGAAACCTACAAGAGAGGAGCTAGCTAGGGGCAAGCACTCTGTCAGCAGAACTTTACCCAGAGCCAGTCACACAGCAGATCAACCAATACCGGGTGAAATGAAAGGAGCTTAATAGGAACTTGACTGGAGGAGCCGGGAGAGAAGTGGGTGGGGCCAGCTCTTAACACAAGAGTCTATCCGTGTGGACCAACCAGCTTGCTCTGTTTCCCTGGGACATTGGGGTTTTAAGATGGAAAGCGCCAGGTCCCGAGAACCCCCGGTCTCCCGCAAACCAGGATTGGTCATGCTGCTCCCTGTTACCTACCAAGCTCTGTGCTGCCACTGGAAACAGTGTGGGGGCGCTGGAGGGGAGCAGTGGGGAGGGGCGTCCAGGCAGAGAGAGGGCTCAGCTGCAGTGTGCCGAGCCTATTGCTGGTCCAGACAGCCCTGCTTCCCTTGATACGGAAATAGAAATTGCAGATGAGCACCCCCAGATTACTTTTCCATGTCTTTGCAAATAACTGGGGCCATGAAATGAGGTTCTGGAAGACGGAATGTGAACTGAAACCGTATGATGTTCCCAACTATGTCTGTAGAAGGCAGAGCCCAAGAAAGAAGTGTGAGGGAATGATAGATGCTCGTGAGCTCGGGCCCTGCCCTAGATGTATTGAGGGAAGATGAGGGAAACGGATTATTGAAAACAGAGTCCTGGTGGTGATGGTTAAGAAATGAATGGGCTCTCCCGAGGCAGGCCTGGCTTTTGTTCCTGACTCCCGGCTGTGTGACCTTGTCCAGGTGACTTAACCTTTCTGAGCTCAATTACCTCATCTGTCATTTGTTAATCATACCTATTTGATAGGGTTATTTTGAACAGTACCTGGCACATAGTAAGTGTCATATTTGTGCAGATGAAGTATAATCTCTCAATCGAGATACCGACATCGATAGAGCTGAGATAAAGAACATACCATTAGGGCAGGATCCTTCCTGCTGCCCTTGTGTGGACACACCCCCTTCCCCCTGGGGCACCTCCTCCTTCCCCCTACTTGTATAGCTCAGGAATGTCATCGAAACACAATTGTGCAACATGCAATCTTTGCGATTATACATTCGCCACGTCAATATCTTGTTCTTTCTGCGGTGTTCTCCGCAGGATGGAGTTGCCACATTTTGAGACTAATTAATTGGCACATGGATTGCTTGCATTTTATAGCTATTATGAATTAAACGGTTATAAACCCTTTATACAGATTTTTGTGTAAACATCAGACTTCATTTCTCTTGGATAAATGCGAGACTGGGGTACACAGTATTGCATGTTTAGGTTTTTTTAACTGCCACGCTGTTTTCCAGAGTCCCTCCCACTGGCAATGTTTGACCAATCCGGTTTCTCTGAATCCTTGCAGCCTCTTGGTGTTATCGTTACGCTTCATTTTAGTCTCTGATGGACAGTGATAACTCATTGTAGTTTAAATTTGCATTTTACTCATAGCAAATGATCTTTTCTTGTGTTCTTTGCCTCTGTATGTCCTCTTCAAAGAAACTCTCTATGACTTTGCTCATTTTCTAATGAGATTCCTTATTTCTTTATTGTTGAATTCTGTGAGTTTATTATATATTCTAGATACTCGTCCTTTGTGGAGACACATCTTGCAGCTAATT